GTCACCCTTTTCTGTCATCTCATGGTTTTTGTGAAAATATCGAAATGCAGTTGGAGAAAATGGCTACACTTTTCAGGCCAAAATTAATTGTTGCTGGAGCTAGTGCTTATGCACGCCTGTATGATTATGCACGTATACGCAAGGTAATTTGTATACACATGTATATAGTACACAATGACTTTGTAAATAGATTGTATGATAGAAAATGTGATTTTTATTTTTTACTTTGAATGATTTTCTGGAAAGCCCAAGGTTAAATTCATGAAGCATGTTACAGGTGTGCGATAAACAGAAAGCTATATTACTGGCAGATATGGCACACATCAGTGGATTGGTTGCAGCTGGTGTTGTCCCAACACCTTTTGATTATGCAGATGTAGTGACAACTACAACTCACAAGTCACTTCGTGGTCCACGTGGAGCTATGATATTCTTCAGGAAGGGGGTTAAAGAAATTAACAAACAAGGGCAAGAGGTAAATTCCCGTGCAAAATTTATTTGACATTTTTTTTATAGTTTTGACTTCTATTCTGTATCAAATTTCATTTTCATTAATAGGTTAGTTTGTGCTATTTTCTTCTTGAATTGTTGTAAATTCATGATGTGAGCCGAACAGTAATTCTTCTTACAATGTGAAGGTGCTCTACGACTACGAGGACAAAATCAACCAAGCTGTCTTCCCTGGACTGCAAGGCGGTCCTCACAACCACACTATTACTGGTTTAGCTGTTGCATTGAAGCAGGTATACAAGTGGAGAAGACAATATGATCTCTATTTTTACCTGCATTTCAATTGTCACTGACTGTGATGGAAGGGTTCTGTGTAACTGTATTTTTCTTCATATTTATGCATTCACTTGCAACTGCCACAGACAATAAAAATGGTTTTGTAGTAAGATTTTTCCTCATCTGAGCATAATAAGGATTGTCTGACGGGTTTGATTTTGTGAGTGACATAATTTGAGTAATATTAATTGGATAGTGTTTGAATCTTAGGTTACTTTCTGTGATTCTTAGAAACTTCAAGGGTTGGATGAATAAGTCTCCAGTCTAATGGGCGTTTGTTTGTAGCTTTAAAAGAAAACTAAAAACAGCTGAAAATGGTTCTCCATGTTCTATCTTTAAATGATCTGATCATCTTGGAAAAATTATTTGGAACCTCAACGGCATCTTTTTTATTTTTTTAAACTTGGTAAAATAATTGATAATGTTGGAATGTTAGTATATGCTCTGCATATTTTCTCTTAGTGATCATATTTATAAATTCTTTCTCTTGTGTGGATCCAGGCTACAACTCCAGAGTATAGAGCATATCAAGAGCAAGTTCTCAGCAATTGCTCAAAATTTGCACAGGTATATTACATTGAACTGCCTTTATCCACAACTTGGTTATTGCCTTGCCATACCCAAAAGATTAACTTCATATACCTAACACTGAAGTCTTAATATGCTGCAGGCTCTGAGTGAGAAGGGCTATGATCTTGTTTCTGGTGGAACTGAGAATCACCTAGTTTTGGTGAATCTGAAGAACAAGGCAATGGACAACTGCTTTGGCATTTCATATAAGCTTCAATGAATCTACTCTGAACACGAAATCATCACATCTAATGCTAGTTGTTTGTGTCACAGACTTATACTCATTAAACTGACATGAATTTACTAATTCTTAACAATTATACAGTGCATTCTCGGGAATTTTAAATATAGAAAAAACTTTAAAAGTATAAACTAGAAGAACATTTAAAAGAAAAAATATCTAAAGTTGCAAGGGATGTATGTATAATTAATTAATTTTGATAAAATATAAAAGATATATATTAAAAGAGAAAGAATTTAAAATTATAAAGAAGATATGTATTATTAATTCAAAAGAATTCGAATTAAAATTTAAAAGAAGTGAAGTTAAGAATGACATATATTAATCTTTAAGGGATATATTCTAATTTAATATATAGGAGTAGAGCAACTAAGATTTGTGGGAAAAGAGAAAAGTTTAGCATTAAAAAAAATAAAAATAAAAAAACTTAAAAGAAAGCTGTAATTTTGTTCATCCTAAAGCAGTAAAATTAAAGTAAGACTAATGTTTTTCAAATATCTTTACGCAGGGTATTGATGGCTCCAGAGTTGAGAAGGTGTTGGAAGCAGTTCATATTGCAGCTAATAAAAACACTGTTCCTGGAGATGTGTCTGCCATGGTTCCTGGTGGCATCAGGATGGGTACAGGCTCTTTGTGCTTATATTGTGATTTTAATGTCTTTAATTACTTACTTAAAAGATCTTATGGATTTCAGGAACCCCTGCTCTTACTTCTAGAGGATTTGTTGAGGAGGATTTTGTTAAGGTAGCAGAGTTTTTTGATGCAGCAGTAAATTTGGCAGTTAAGATTAAGGCAGAAAGCAAAGGTTCTTAGATCTTCAACATGCTTCCTGAATTTGTGTGATTTTTATCTGGAAAGTGCTGATATAAATGTTGTTAACTTGTTGCCGTTGGGTTGCTTGGTGCTTAAATAAGCTAATATGTGGTTGCTGTTGAATTTTTTATTTTTTTTAATCAGGAACAAAACTGAAGGACTTCTTGGCCACTATTCAGTCATCTTCTACCTTTCAATCAGAGATAGCAAAGCTCCGCAATGATGTTGAGGAGTACGCAAAACAATTTCCAACCATTGGTTTTGAAAAAGCAACCATGAAGTACAAGAATTGAGGAAAATTTTCCGTTGGGTATGCATTTTGATAATATTACCTTGTATTTTTATATTTTAATTCCTCAATTGTTATGTACTATATCTTGCTTTCCATGCAGCGAGCTACAATGAACAAGAGAATGATTAACCTTTTTGTGTGTCCACTTTGAAACATGATACACTATTATGGTTAAGATCAACTTGCACTACATTTAACCTCATATTAGACAAAAGCAATTTTATCAAAAGTTTCTTTCTTTTTGCACCAAAAAACTTCCTCCTCTTAAAATAACAGAAAAATAAATTTAAATAATGAAGGACTAGAAGATGAGTTGTTAGTTATTTATTTTCTCATTCATTGATTAATTTTCATTTGTTCCATATTTGTTGATTAGGTCTTAGACAAGTGGTAGTTGCACACAGAAGTGCAAAAATGTGCACTAGAGACTTGGTTCCTGTTTCATTCATAAAGCTTGTCTGCGTTCAATTTCATTTCGTTGAGTTCGCTCAAATTCAATTTATAGGAAAAGAAAAAGCAAAGTGATACCATTAATCTGTCATTATCCTTTGGGAGGACATTCAAAAACTGACATTTAAATGTGAGATTTTGAATTCATTTTTCTTAAGACAGAAAAGCTTGCATTTGACATTTCTAACTCTAAAGACAAATTTCCTCATCTAGGGCATACAAATAGTAGTCTGATGTCCTCTGACAGATGTAGTTTACTATGTGACAGGTCACACCATGGTCTAATTGGTAAGCAATTCAATGTGATCGGTTTTTCTGATTCATGGTAGAGGACGATAATGTAAAAAGGGCAACATGGTGTCATAAAGCTCCTCCTATGCGGAGTCTAGGGAAGGGCTACAGTAGATATAATTAATCTAGTCAAGAGCCTTTGTATGTATGAATCCAGAAAACCTTGATCATTATCGTCCTGAAATATATAGATGGATATGTAATAAAAGGCTTCAAAAACCAAATTTCGAAAACAGATGCTTGTTGAACCTACTCCCTCTGATGTGATTACTATTGATCATTGAAAACGACTGTGTCTCCTATAAATCCAATTAGCCTCCTTCACTGCATAGAATCCCGCTAATGCTGATATGAATTCTTTTACCTCATTGTTATTCCTTAAAATCAGTTAGCAGTTATGGCAATCCCAAAGACTGCTTGGTCTGTAACTTCACTGTCGGCCTGATACTACATGTTGTACATTGCTTTATCAGAACTTGACTGGTTGAAAATGGATAAACCAGTCATTTCAGAGAGTAGGAAAGACAAAGCTGACCAGTGGCATCACTGAATCAATGTTTAAAACAATAATGCTTAGCATACACATTGTGGGTGCACATCACCTTGCATCAGGCATAGGTGACAGGTGTGGCAGTGTGTGTGCAAAAAAGATAAGTGGGACTAACTATAATCAGGTGGTGAAAACTACATAAATACAAAGTGATATGTGTGTCACAGTGTCAGTAACATTACTTTGTTTAAAAAAAGAATTCCTCATTACCTTTGCATATTTGGAATTCGTATGACAGAGTCCACTGGTTCTTTGCTAGTTTGGTTTTATGGACCGTAATAGTTCACCAGTTTTTTAGTTGAATCAGCCAGTTCAGTCCGGTTTTTTCATCAATTACCAAAACCGATCTTCTTAGTTATGGACCTATAGTCATGTTAGGGCTGTTCAGTGTTCTTGGGTCATGAAGCATATACAAACTATTTACATTTGCTTCGTGGATGTTTAGGTAGAAAGGGAGGATTAACAGAATAGAGTAATGGAAATAATAATTTGTTAATACTTAGGACCTTTTTTACATTTTTTAGGAAAAAGGAAGCTCATCATTTTGCAAAACCTGGATTGCTTCCTGTATAGCAATGGATTATAAAATAATAATTCGATAACATGTCATACTCAGATTAAAGGGCAATTGATACTCTATTTCAATGTTTGAATCTGTTCTCAGGCAGTGAATTGCACCATCTCTTGTTGATAATAGTTATAGTTCACTTGTCGTCTCCTTTTCTTCACTTGTCCTCTCGTTATAGTTCAGAACGGAAGAAACACGAGTGTAGTGCATAAAGCAGAATAACTTGAACATTGAATGCAGTATTGTTTCACTTCCATTTGGCTTATTTTGACCCAGCAAAAGGAGTGGTTGAGAGAGAGTGTTTCGTTTCAATATGCAATGAGTCCCTGAAAGTGCATTCGGAATTGTTTTATTCGGTCTGATTACGTATGTGACATGACAAAAGCAGTTATCGGTAACGAATCAAAGATTTAGTTTAACCCTTTTACTATCTCGGCTGTTATTGGTTCAAACTTTTGGTCGTGATTGTTGATTCTGCTGTTGATCGAGTTGAGGGTAGCACCCCTTTGTCTATAACAATGGAATTGCGATTGGATCCCCCATGGCTCTCTATGGACTTCATGTATTCTGATGCATTGTTTTCTATTATTAGAGCATCCTCCAACTCACGTACAATGTCATCCATGCTTGGTCGATGTGATGAGAAGGGTTCAACACATTGCAGTGCCACTTCCACCACTCTCCACATTGCCTCTGGATGGTATCCTCCCTTGATGCCAGGATCCACAATTTCCTCAACCTGCGATGCCCTTATATATGGTTTAGCCTGCATGAAAAGTTTTTCTTAGTGCTTACTGTATATAAAATCTTACTAGCAGGGTAAGCATATCAAATCAAAAATTTATAAGCAAAATGCAGTTAGGGTGTAGGTGCGATAGGGTGAAATTGTTGTCCAATTAGTGCGCACCAGCATAATATTTTTTTGGAGTTTGACCATACCCATTCAACCAAGCTGCATTCGTTCCGTGGCCTATGGATGTTGAGTGGTTCCCGACCACTCACAATTTCAAGTAGAACAACACCAAAGCTGAAAACATCACTCTTAGCAGATAATTGCTGGGTTGTGTAGTACCTGTATAGGAATAAATGTCAGCTTTTCTGAAAATTAGTTCAGATCAAAGTTGCATTCTGTAAACTTCACAAAATTAGTTCAGACAAATGCTTTTCCCATCTATTAATACATGTAAACTCCACAAATGAAATATAATGAGAAACATTCTTCAATCTCTCTCATTAAGATAGCCTTCATGAAACAAACACAATGGTGTAAATAACAGGAGAGATTGGGCAGTCATTTTTGCAAGTGAATTTTTGTTTTCCTATTTCGGCTTTGTATTTTCAATATGATTCCATGAAACCTTTACTTAGAAACCTAATAAATCTTTTGCTCAAAGTGTCATTAGAGACCAATATAAAAAGCTCAGGTTAAGACAAAATCCTATAAGTACGCTTACTCAGGGTCGAGATATCCTGCGGTTCCTCTTACTTCAAGAGAAATAATGCTCTCTCCTTCCTGTGGAGCATACTTAGAGAAACCAAAATCTGCAACCTTAGCACACATGCTATGATCCAAAAGTATGTTGCTTGATTTCACATCCCTATGGATTACAGAACGTCCTGGAAATGTGTGAAGATATGCCAAACCTGCTTGATCAGAAAACAAGTAATTATTCTAATGGCCCCATAAACACGTTATAGATGAAATTGTAGTAAAGTCAGTTAGGTCAGCAACTAAGTTGATCTCGTGAAGTACTTTATGAAAGAAAAATCCCAAAAAAAATTGTTGATGTTAAAGTCGATCTGTGATGGACCAAATACTAATTGGTTGTGAGATTTTACTGAGTCAAATATCCTTTTGCTTGTCCGTTTACTTTACAATGCAGAAAAGCAACCAATAATCTGCATTGCCTTCCTCCAGTAATTTTTCCTTGCAAATCTCATAATATCAATATGCATTAACACCTCTTAAGTCTTAACTATTACTAGCTCCTCTTTCCTAATTACATTTTCATATAGAATAATAAAATATTATCCATTTCAAGGTTGGCACAGAAGAAATTCGGGATTTTAAAAATGGTTTTAGTAGTCAACAAACAATATTCTCTTGACCGTTTTTCTGAAGATAATTTTTTATGAGGTTTTCATTACCTGTTGTGATTTTGCTACGTTTTGAATTTTGCTGACAGCTTCAGTTCATTCATATTTCCACGATAAAGATCATAAGAGGTTTATGTTATTTTATTGGGTCAATTTCCCATTATTTTAGAAACTCCATTGCAGCTTTCAATATCCCTAGTATAAAAGCGTATTTCATATTCAGTGATAGCTTGACTCCAACTATTTCAAAAATATTAATATTAAGAACTGAGTTGATGTGCGTGTTGCTTCAACTTCAAAAAGTTCGTCATCATTTACTTCCTTTTCAAGGATCTATTATGAGCCCAGAGCAAAAAGGTAACCACAACACTCAGCAAAAAAACTGCTGAAGAAAAACTAAAATTGCTGGAGAATATTGAAGTAATAGTTAAGCTGAGACATCTATTAGTGTAAAAATATTGTCATTGGGTCCAGAAACACTATAATGAAGAGAAATGCCTCTGTTTTGTCACATTCCTTCTAAAATATACTTATATTTGCTTTCTAATCATTAGAAAGCCTCATCACTCTGCTTATGATTGCCTCCAATTTTTATTCATTAGAGAAACCAATATGCTAATCTCCATATTTTATGGGCTTATTGTCTTCACTGTTTGTTGTAAATATTATTATTATTATTTATTTATTTGTTGTATTGGGCTTAGCCCATTAAGTCATGTAATCTATTTAAATAGAGGACCCTATGTACAGAATTTTTACAATTCAATAATATATCAGATTACCCTTTTTCAAGGTGGTATCAGAGCTCTCGATCCGAGGGCTCTGCTTCCGCGTCTATTTGCCTTTAGAGCAAAACCCTGATTTCTTTGCCTCTTGCTGCCATCAGCCGTCACCGGAAATTTTTTTCCGGGGACCTTTTGGACCAAGAGGACTACCGTTCACCTTTATTTTCTTCGATTACTCTCTGTTTCTCAGCCGAACAACTTTCCGGTAACCCAAACACCTCCAATCAGATCTGTCATCGCGTCTGGACCACTTTCCGATGACTTTTCAACCGCGACCACCCACAGACAAGTGCGCGCTCGCCGAACGACCACGCTGCAAAAATTTCAGCCGGAGAAGACCGTCCACGCGCTCTCACGCGCCGCCCAAACTCCAGCGCGTGAAGCCCATGCGCAGCCAACTCCACCGGCGCGTGCAGCCTTATTTTGGCCTCGGACCACCGCCATTCTTCTCGTCTCCTTGTTCTCTGTCTGGATCTGCGATTGTTTTTCTGATTGGACTTCATTTGATATTCTGTTTGGTTGATTTTACTGCTGTTTGTTAACTTTTTTAGTGCAGTATGACTGAGAATGACAGTGAGTCAACTGTTTCACAGACTACATAGTCTGGTGATACCCCACTTGGCCACAATGATCTTCCCAATCTACATCAGAGCTATCGACTTGATGGATCAAACTACTTGTCATGGTCCTAGCTTATTCGCACTACCATCAAGATCCGCAATAAGATTGCTCATCTTGATGGCCCTGCTCCTGCGAAAAGTGACCCGAAGTTTGCTGTTTGGGATAATGAAGATTCCCTCATCATGACTTGGTTATGGAACTCGATGACTCCTAAAGTGGGTCGTCACTGTATGTTTCTGTCTCTGCTCAGGAGATTTGGGACATTGTTCGTTCAACTTATTCCTTGAAACAGGATATGGCTGCGCGCTATGAATTGCACAATAAAATATTTTCTACGAAACAAGACTCCTCATCAGTGACAGCTTACTATGGTACTTTGAAGGAGTTGTGGACTGAACTTGATCAATTTCAGAGTTTGAAGATGCAATGTACTTCAGATGCTACTGCTCTAGCCAAGGAGGTGGAAAATGAGCGTATTTTTGATTTTCTTGCTGGTTTGAATCCCGAGTATGATCCTATTCGGGTTCAGATACTTGGCAAAAAGACTTTTCCATCCCTTTCTGCTGTTTTCAATACTGTTCGGGGGGAGGAAACTCGTCGGGGAGTTATGATGAACTCTGATAAATCTGCCATGCTGTCATCACATGATGGTGCTGCCTCTAAACCCACTGATGGGTCTGCTATGATTTCTACAAAAAAGGATGGCTCTTCGCAAGGGAGTTCTTTTACAAAATTTTCTGATGGTCCATCTTCTAGACCCAAGAAAGATGATCGCTGGTGTTCTTACTATAGAAGAACCGGTCATATCAAGGACCTATGCTTTCGCCTCCATGGAAAGAAAAAAGTCTTAGAAAAGATGGCAAGGATGCGTGGTCAAGCGCATTTTACTTCTTCTGATATAGCTCCTGCACCTAATGAGATCTAACCTGCATTTCGTCAAGATGAGTTGGAACGACTCCGGACTATACTTGATTCTCTGAGTAAGCCATCTGGTACTAGTGATTTGGCTATGACTGGTATGAGCTCCAATATTTATTCTTTTCTTACTTCATGCATTGATTTTAAACATTCTTGGGTTGTTGATTCTGGTGCTACTGATCATATGGCTTGTTGTGCTGACTCCTTTGTTTCTTATAACCCTACCATTGGCACTCATACAATAGCCGTAGCTGATGGCTCACATACATCAGTTGCGGGTTCTGGTAACATAAAATTACATCCTTCCTTACATCTCAAAGATGCTCTTCATGTCTCTAAACTCTCTACTAATCTTCTTTCTATTCATAAAATTACAAAAGATTTGAATTGCACTGTAACCTTCTTCCCTACTCACTGTGTTTTTCAGGATCTCGCCACGGGAAAGACGATTGGGGGTGCTAAAGAGCAAGGTGGGTTGTACTATCTGGTGTCACAATCTCCCGCAACTAATGTTAAGGATCACATCTTGCTGTCTCATTGCCAGTCAACTGCTGATTCTCTGATTTGGCTTCATCATAAGCGCTTGGGACATCCTCCGTTTAGTTTACTCAAGTCTTTATTTCCGTCATTGTTTTTGTCTAAGTCTGTTGAGTCTTTTCATTGTGATGTTGTGAGTTTGCTAAACATCATCGTGTATCTTTTCCTTCTAGTATTACTAAAAGTGTTAAACTTTTTGATCTTATTCATTCTGATGTTTGGGGTCCTTCTAAGGTCCCTCATTTTTCTGGTAGTAAATGGTTTGTTTCTTTTATTGATGATTGCACTCGTGTAACTTAGTTTTACTTAATGCGTGAAAAGTCTGAGGTACCACAACTGTTCTTTCAATTTTATAAAATAGTTGAGACCCCATTTGGTAAAAAAATCAAAAGACTAAGGACAGATAATGGTACTGAATATGTTAATCACTATTTTTCCCAATTTATACGAAGTCAAGGTATGATTCATGAACTTACTTGTGTAGACACCCCTCAACAAAATGGGGTTGCTGAAAGAAAGAATCGTCACCTACTTGAAGTTGCTCGTGCCTTACTGTTTCAAACACATGTACCCAAATGCTATTGGGGAGATGCCATTCTTACTGCAGCGTTCTTGATCGACCGTCTACCCACTCGGGTTCTTGATAATGTAAGTCCTATTCACTCAATAACTTCTTTTTTTTCTTCTGTTCCAACTTTGCAAAGTCTTCCTCCTCGAGTGTTTGGGTGTGTTGTCTTTGTTCATGTTCATAAACAGCATCGCAGTAAGTTAGATCCTAGGGCTCTAAAATGTGTTTTCCTTGGTTATGCTCCTGACAAGAAGGGCTACAAGTGCTATCACCCTAGCCTATGTAGCACCGATACCGACACGCGACACGACACGACACGTCACGACACTCCGACACGTTAATTTTAAAAAAATGTTAGATTTCGACACGTTAGGACACGTTTAGATATTGAATAATATTTTTAATTTATGTAGTGAATATTATATTTAATATTCAATAATTTAACAAAAAAATGAATCTAATCTTATAATATTCATAAATTTTGCAAAGAAACATAAGATATCCCAAATATTTATATTAAACTCAATAAAATGATAATCGTAATACAACGAATCTAATAGTTGGAACTAAAAACTCAACGCAACACAACCTTTGAACTTTTTTTGAATTTCTATAACGCGTGTTAGAGTGTCGGAGAGTGTCGGAGTGTCCGAGAGTGTTGGGAAGTGTCGGACACGACACGTCAGGGTTTTTGAAGTGTCGGTGCTTGATAGACCCTAGCAGTCGGAATTTTTTTGTTTCTATGGATGTTACGTTTCAGGAATCTGAGTCTTTTTCCAAAGATCCTCATATTTAGGGGGAGAATAATTCACCGGAAATCTCATCATCTTCCTTCTTTGAGTTTGAATCTTCAGTGTCTACTCCTTCACCTCCTCCTCTTGTTTCTGTTCCTTCTGTGTCTATGTCTGATCCTCCTGTGACTGATCCATCAAGTACACCAGAGATACGGAAGATTGTGACACCTGAGTTGGTATATCATAGAAGGAAACAAACCACATTGCCTCACCAGCAACCTCAATCGTATGAACCACTGGTAAGTTCTGAATCTCATATTTCTGATCATGATATTAATACTTCTGATGACTTACCCATTACTACTGATGCTGATGATTTACCCATTGCCTTAAGAAAAGGAAAAAGATCTTGTTACAAGAAATCTTGTTCCTCTTGTCCCTCTTGTACTCAATACCCTATCTACCATTTTGTTTCCTCTACTAATCTTTCTGTGCAGCACAAAAGCTTTGTTTCAGCACTAGATTCTATTTCAATCCCAAAATCAGTACATGAAGCTTTGAAAGATGGAAATTGGGCTTAAGCCATGCAAGAGGAGATGAATGCGTTGGAGAAAAATAAAACATGGGAGGTTATTGATAGACCCAACAGAAAGAAAACAGTAGGGTGCAGATGAGTTTATGCCTTGAAGTATAATTCTGATGGCACTCTTGAAAGATACAAGGCTCGATTAGTCGCCAAAGGTTACACTCAGACCTATGGCATTGATTATGAAGAAACCTTTGCTCCAGTTGTAAAGATAAATACGGTGAGAGTCTTGTTATCCCTTGCTGCCCATTACAATTGGGATATAAATCAATTTGATGTAAAGAATGCCTTCCTCAATGGTGAGTTAGAAGAAGAAGTCTACATAAAAATCCCGCCTGGTTTTGATTCTGTGAATGGAGAAAATAAAGTTTGTAGATTATAAAAGGCCTTGTATGGATTGAAGCAGTCACCTCGTGCCTGGTTAGGAAGGTTTACTAAGGTTATGATGATCTCAGGATACAAACAGAGTTAAGGAGATCACACTCTTTTCTTCAAGCACTCCCAAAATGGGAAGCTTACTGTGCTCCTTGTATATGTTGATGATATTATTATCACAGGTGATGATTTTGTGGCGTGACATATTCTGTAGACACGGCTAGCCTCTGAGTTTGAAGTCAAAGACCTTGGGAAACTGAGATATTTCCTAGGGATAGAGGTAGCTCATTCAAACAAAGGAATTTTAATCAGCCAGAGGAAATATGTTCTTGATCTTCTCAAAGAAGCAGGAAAGCTCGGGTGTAAACCCTCTAATACTCCTATTGAGCAGAATCACGAGATAGGCTATGAAGAGGAGAGTCCTCCAGTTGATAAAGGACAATATCAACGACTAGTTGGGAAATTGATATATCTGGCTCATATTAGACCAGACCTAGCTTATGCTGTTAGTGTTGTCAGTCAGTTTATGCACGATCCAAAGGAGAAACACATGCAGGCAGTGGAGAGAATTCTTCAGTATCTTAAAGCTACTCCAGGTAAAGGACTGTTATTCCGGCGTGATGGAGATCTCTCTTTAGAAGTCTACACTGATGCTGATTATGCTGGATCTATGGCTGACCGTCATTCTACCACTGGTTATTGTATGTTTCTTTGTGGTAACTTGGTGACGTGGAGAAGTAAGAAACAAGATGTGGTTGCCAAATCAAGTGCAGAGGCTGAGTTTCGAGCTATGGCTCAAGGCATTTGTGAGTTACTGTGGCTGAAAACTGTACTTGATGATCTCAAAATAAAATGTGAGGGGCCAATGAAGCTGCTATGTGATAATAAGTCAGCCATTTGTATAGCTCATAATCCGGTTCAACATGATCGGACTAAACATATTGAGGTCGGCCGCCATTTCATCAAAGAGAAACTTGATAGCGGGTTGATTACCACACCCTACATTCTCACTGGGCGTCAATTAGCTGATGTATTGACAAAGGGACTTTCTTCATATAGATTTCAAGAGTTTACTAGCAAGCTGAGGAATGATAAATATATATTCCTCAGCTTGAGGGGGAGCGTTGTAAATATTATTATTATTATTTATTTATTGTATTGGGCTTAGCCCATTAGGTCATGCAATCTCTTTAAATAGAGAACCCTGTGTACATAATATTTACAATTCAATAATATATCAGATTACCCTTTTTCAAGTTGTAAAGAACCTTGAGATACACCACCCCAAAAGCTAGCTCAAAGGGTGGGAGTGCCCAAGGCCTTATAAACTCCACATTAGTTGCTCATACAACCAATGTGGGACTATATATCTCAACACGCCCCCTCACACAAGATCCCATTGGGCTTGAAGAGTGGATGATGCAATAGGCTCAGCCTAACTATGCTAAGAAATTCCACAAGAGAAAGTGGGAGGCAGCGAGGTTTGAACTCGGGACACGAGGCTTTGATACCATGTAAAGAACCTTAGTATACACCACTCCAAAAGCTAGCTCAAAGGGTGGGAGTGCCCAAGGCCTTATAAACTCCACATTAGTTGCTCATACAATCAATGTGGGACTATATATCTCAACACTGTTTATGTAAATTAGTTTGATCTGTTAGTCTTATATAAATATTTCATCCTTCCTGATAAGATGACAAGTTGATGTCTGGATCTTGCATGTTTATATTTTGAAACAACGTAGTAAAAATATAACATCAAATGTACTTGCCTCGAGCTGCACCAAGTGCAATAGATAGTCTGGTTGTCCAGTCTAATATTTTTCTTTTTCCTGGTTCCCCTGTCATCAAGTTGAGTTTTAGAAGGACAGTTTATCAAAACATATCAGCTCAAACAATTACAGTATCGTTTTACCATATAGTCTATCTTGCAGAGAGCCATTGGACATAAAAGGATACACGATAATTTGTTGATCTTTTTCATTAGAATAACCAAGAAGAGGCACCAGGTTCTCATGTCGTACTGCAGAAAGCAGGTTTAGCTGCAAGAAGCATCATGGACTAGTCAGGTGGCACTACGTAGAAACCAGGTCAGGGACATTGTTCAATAGTTCTAATTTCAATGTAGCAGTTTGTGAGAAAGAGAGAATAACATATATTATGTATTGGCATGTACGAGGTAACTCGAACATGTAACATCAGCATTTTGCATCATTATAAGCTACCCAAAAGTTTCCAATGTGGAAACCGGCATGCGAACTTTGATACATCAAATAAATTAGAAACAACTATTTTACCTCATTATCAAATTCTCGAGTTCCCTGGGTTGATGTGGCTGACCGGACTTTCACTGCCACTTGTTGACCATCTTCTAGAGTGCCGCGGTACACACAGCCAAACCCTCCTTCCCCTATCAAAGTTTTGTATTTTTCGGTTGCCGCCTCTATATATTCCAAAGTGAATGCTTGAATTGACACTGACTTAATGAAGAAATCATCTATGCTGAGCAAAGAGATAATTACATCTGCATTTTTGTTTTTTGGTAGAAATATACATCAGAGTGCAATATAAGCAGTCAAGATTAGACCAAACTAACCTTACACGCTAGCATCAACTTCTGCATTACAGAAAATAAAATATACGGGGATAGCTATGTTCTTTGACACAAACTGATATCATCAATCATCATCATAATACCACTATTATGATCAAAATTATTGTTGTTATTGTCCTTTAAGTTCTTGTCACTGGGGATGCAAAATATATAGTAATGAAGTGCTAAATTAGTTGTATATTTGCCAAGAATTTATAATTTTCTAATATACGTTTTCCTTTCATTATTTTGTCATTATATGCAAATGCAGCCTTATTTGCAAGTTCCTGACTGAAATGCTAGATTCAATCCAATATTTTCTTTAGTTGTGGGTATATGTCGCAAGATGACTACAAACAAATCTTTCGAAGAAATCTGGAACTTAATTGTAAGGAGATCTGAAAAACTAGTGAAGAAGAATGAAATTTAAAGATGTAAAGCACCTCGGACAGATTTGGAAGACAAAAATGTATGCAAGTTACTAAAAGCCATCAGCTTAGATTAGGATGAGTTATTGAGTTGTTTCAACCCTTGTACAGAACAGCAGAAACTCATAGAGACATGTCATGCAAGTTGTAGGAGCCGATAAAAGTTCATAACAAATTTCGCTGTACCTAAAACCATGTATTACCTTGAAGGGAACATATTTCAGTACTTTTGACCATATGATATGAGATGATTTATATTTTTGGTTTTGCTATTCTAAAAGGAAAAAGATGCTGCTTTGGATGCACACAGAACGGCAAAAAAATTTATTTAGTGTAATTTAATTAAATAATTACATAAATATGACAGTTTGGAGAATATTTACGCATCTATTGCACACTATGATGTCCCTTTTGGGCGTCACATGTGACGCTCCACTGGGCGTCTCTCATGAAGGAAAGACGCCCAAATGGGGCGTCTCTCATGAGAGAGGTGGTGACATGTGTCATTTGTTTTTCCAAAAAAAAATTTAATTTAATCATAAAACTTATAAAGGCCATAACTTTTGCCTTTAGTATCCAAATCAGGTAATTCTTTTTTTGATTCCACATAACTTTTTGAGATCTACGCAATGACATCTCATTTGACATATTTTATTTCTCACCAACACAATTTTAATTTGCAAGAATGGTATTATAAGAGCGGTTAAACCCAGAAGCCTCTGAGTTCTGGATTTGTGATTTAATATAAAAAAATAAATAAATTTTTTGATTTGTGATTTAAATTTTTTTATAATAATTTTCTTTATTATAACAAAATTTTGGTTTGTGATTTAAATTCAAAATAAATTTTTTTATTATTAATAAGGAAAACAAAATAAAGATTTGATTTGTGATTTAAATTAAAAGTAACAATTATTATTAATAAGGAAAACAAAATAAAGATTGTTATCAAAAAAAAAAAAAAACAAAATAAAGATTTGATTTGTGATTTAAACTCAAAAATCAATTTGAAAAATCTGTATTAATAAAGGAAATAATTAAATAAATATTCTAAATATCTAAGGAAAAAGGATTACCTGATTTAAATTTAAATTATGTTGGTGAGAAATAAAATATATGAAATGAGATGTCATTGCGTAGATCTCGAAAAGTTATGTGGAATCAAAAAAAGAATTACCTGATTTGGATAATCGAGTCAAAAGTTATGGTCTTTAGAAGTTTTATAATTAAATTAATTTTTTTTTTGGAAAAACAAATGACACATGTCACCACCCCATGAGAGACGCCCCATTTGGGCGTCTTCCTCTCATGAAAGACGCCCCCAGTGAGACGTCACATGTGACGCCCAGAAGGGGCATCACAATGTGCAATAGATATGTAAATATTTTCCAAACTGTGATCATTTTACCACCTTCTGTAGAACTCGTTGATAATACACAACATATAGCTAACGTAACAGAACCAATCCATTTGTATATTGGATTAAAAATTGATAGGAATCGTGGATATCGTACCTCTTTTCATATACGAAAATACGAAATTCAGACTCATGTGACAAGCCACGGTCCTGAAAGAATCACTAATGAAATTTCACACCTAGAAGCCCATTTACTCAGTACTCCGTTTTTTCCTCTTTTCGGATGTTAAATATTTCTCAGAACATGGAGTGTGAATCAAACCCATATTTGAATTTGCGTAATTATTTAATTAAATTGCAATAAATAAATTTTTTTGCCACACCAAAGGTTAGAGAAGATAATAATATGCCTACTTGTTGCCGTTGTGTTGCTTTTTCCATCAACTCCTTCCAATTGAATTAATTTTTGTCTATAACGACAAACGAAAAGAATTCCAACAGCCAATGTAATCAAGAGTGATCCACATGCAACAGCGGTAATAACCATTACTTGATCTGGAAAGGGTTCTTGTGCCTTGCACCTTCCATAACTGAAATATCAACGTAAAACAATCAAATTTTCTTTCCTTTAATTTGAAACGTTTATTGTTTGAGAGGATACCCCTTACTCTGTATTGATTGAATTGTTCGAGTTTGCTGCAACTTCTGTGCTCATGCGTTCATTGCAGCCAAAATATCTGGAAAGAAATAAAGTACAAGATAAATTGATGGCAGATATATTTAAAATAGCTTCCTGGTATAGGTGAAGTAGAAAACCAAAATATGAAACTTACAATGACTTTAAATGTGGCAGTAAAGTAAACGATTCAGGAAGCGATCCCTCAAGATCATTGTAGCTCAGATCTCTGTTCCACAAATTTAAATTAGAATTTTTTTGTTCACAATTTTCTGAATAACACTAGCAACAGAAGCAAATGTCTCTATGATAGGAATCTAACTTAAGGAAGAAGGAAATGAACAACACATGTAAGATGATTATGACAAAGCGTGTCCTCCCAAGTTTTCTGTTAGTGGAGGGAAAATATGAAGACAAGTTTTCTGCACTTAACCCACGTTTATGCCTATGGTGTCTCTGATATATGGTTTTGTGACAAGTTTCACCTAGGTAGCAGTTGAACATTAGAAAGGATAATTACACTGATATCAGCATTGAGGTACGTGGAAATGAGGGGACATAACCGTTGAAGCTGTTGTGGCTCAGGTTCCTGCATAAAATCAAATAATTACAGCAATGGATAAAATTACAGTAGTCCCAGAACAGACACACACACACACACAGAGAAAATCATTAGCGACTGAAAGAAAGCTTTGGGAGCATTACAATATTTGTAAGTTGGTCAACTCAATTGCGCTGGAAGGAAGCGCTCCTTTGAGATTACTCGAGGAAAGATCCCTGGAAAGAAAAATAGTATATATAATAATTAACACCCTACAAAGCCACGAAAGAAGTGTAAAAATTGATTAAGTTATTGACACATAAAAATAAGACTTGCTTTATCCTCCAAAAATCCTGCTTAGCTAGAGAAATTGGTTGGTTAATAAAAGCACAATTGGGTGCATTCAAACCATATTCCCTGTTTGATAAATTTGGCAGCATTTTCAAAAGGATGGAATGACTTACAGCTTAGTAATAAGAGGTGGACCATTTGGACTATCACATGATATTCCTTGCCATGGGAAAAGAATACAAGGGTCTCCAGTCCAACTCTCTAGCACTTTATTGTCTTGGTTTTGAACCAATAATTCTTCTCTTACCCCCACAATTGCTTCCACTGGAAAAATAACAAGTTGTGCTTGTGTAAGAGAGACAGAGAGATAGGACACAAATTTACCAATATGGCAAACTTGGTGCAGAGCTGAAGAAAAAAATGGAAAACCTTCTTTTCGTTTAAATTAAGTATTCCCCCAAACAACCCACACAATGGCAACACAGTGCACCAAGACCTTCAATTACACTTACAGTCTGTTTGGTTGGTGTTTTCTGTCTGTGGTCGAACCTGCAGGATCTCATAAGCATTACAAAAGGGTCCAGACTCAGACCCAGATGCCTTGGCCAAGGTTAGATTAAGTGATCCATTTGCTGAAACGTTCAAGACAGTGTATCTATATTTGGATCCTTCTCCCAATATATCAAATCCCTCCTTCTTAATATCATTGTTAACATATATGTCAAACACCCTTTGGCCTGCTCTAACAGTGCTATTTAATTCAAGGAAGTAGAGAAACATGCGGTATTCATAATCCTCATTCTCAAGACCATTGTGGATGAATTCCAATCTCTCAGGGTGGGTAAGAGCTGTTTGTAAGACTTGTAGAGGAGGTGTTGCATTAGCATTGGGGTAAGAAATGCTGTTATTGAATGATGAGAAGGTGAGAGCTGATGGACTTGAAATTTCTTTCCAGATTCTATCACTTCGGTCAATTGGGTACCTGAAAACGGTAAATACTGATATTATTGAGATCTTTTTGTCCATGTAAATAGCTTACAACACAAAAGAGCTATTCAATAGTAAGCTCAGGAAAAAGCACACTGGTATCCTTCTCCTTGCCAACCTAAGGTATCCAATTTGAAGTGGCAATAACAATCGTTAAGTGATAGATTTCCCATTTCCTGTTTCTTTATTTCTAACTATCTTTTCTTTGGTTAATATAAAAGGTTAAATTAGTGATACTGTAAAGGATTGTAATCATATTCTTGGTGTTCCAGACATATTACCTAATAGCTTAAACTTTTATGAGAACTTGACTTTGATATTCTGTTGTATTTATAAGTTCCTGCATCAAGCTTCTCGAATTCAATAGGTCTAAAAAATACTCGGGCACAACATAAATTGCAACTATATCTTCCCTATAGGGAAAGATATTGAATTTATATTTAAACATATTCTGTGTAGGAGCATGTTTCTTCCAGAAGACGAAAAAAAAAAGTGATAGTTCCTAAGCCTCAGATTCTCCAAAGAATTCACTTTATTGGTTAAAATTGAAGCCGAATTTACCATAAAAGAAAATAGATCACATACCTGATGTCATCTTCCTTGCCCCCAAGATTACTTCTGCTAATCAGTTTTAAAACACTAGATGAAAAACCCTGTAGATACTCTTCAGGCAGTGGCCTTAATTCAAGCAGAGAGATATAGGGATTACCCTCCTCTGTCAGTAAGCAGAAGTCTACGTAGTTTTTGGTGGCTCTGAAAACTCCTTCAATTTTCAAGTCTTGGGATGACCTCACCGCACCTATTTTTGTTACCCCTATTGAAACATCAAAGGAAGAATTTGGAGGTTTCCTTAGTGAATTGTCAAATGGGAATGTACCCCTTATCAGATGTACTTGATCCTTTAATGCCGGTAAATTGTAACATCTCTTTCCCTTGTTTATGTCAAACACTCGTAATATTTCATAGCTTGATTGGTTTACCACACTGGTTATTGGTCTGCAACTTGTTTTGTCAGAGAACCAACGGTAATCTGATATGTAATTTAATGTGGTCAGGGTATCTGTATAGTTTGAATCAGCACAGCATGCTATACTCTCAAATCCTGCAGAGAAAATATTAGAGTTTATACGTGCAAACTGAACTTTTCCCTTGAAAGAAACTTGAGCAACATCAAACAAAAAGTGTCAAGTGATTTTAAATTATATGGCTACTGAAGCATGCAACTAATAGTTGCATTTCTGCATCCCTTGCAAACAAGTTTTTTTCTTTTTCCCATTATTACTAAATATGCTACATTTTAGGCCTTAAGTTTATGTCTACACTAATTTGCTGGCTATAATCAAAAAGAAGTTATCCACCAATAGATAAGATGATCTGAAAAAATTATAGTCATCAATTACTAACCTTCACTTGCAGAATCTGATCTGACAAGCAGGTACAAACACAGAACATATGCCACAACCTGACTTAAAAGAAGATTATCCAATATCTCCACCATTATCTGAAAAAGAGGTTACCCCATTGTGTGGACAGACTTGAAATAATACCAACTAAATTTTCATCCTCTCCCAAGTACCATACAATCTTTTCTGAATTCCATTTCTTTCTCTGCCTTTACAACCAACACTCTTTAGTCCTAATAAATTAGATAACAAATGAAGCCACCTTGGTCAACCCTATACTTCCATGAACCTGTATTAAAAAAATTCTATTATTTTTTCATGGAAGAATTTATTGCAATTTCGCCAGAAGAGCACAGTTGGATGGAGGGTTAGAAGAAAGAGTATTGTTAAGGATATCTTTGACTTCAAAAACTGCAGAAGGTAGCTAGGAAAAAGATGGAAGATGAGTTAAAGCTTGAATTAGTATAAATCTGGAATTAATCATTTCTTTTTTAGTTTTATTATTGATGTTAGATATTATTGTTGTTGTTACTTCGGTAGTTGTCACTTGATTAAGTGTATTTAATTATGATATGGCTTAAAATAATTAGACAGACCAATCCTTCGTTTTCTTCCTCCTTTTATCTCATCATAACCATGAATGCCACATCACCACATGATTGAAATTGGATGTGGTATACTGTAAAAAATGGGAATTTTTCTGGTGTATATACCTATAAATTGTTATTAATGTGTTGTTGTGGACAATGTAATTAATACTGTTATATATTTGCATGCTCAGTTTCTCATTAATAAAGAGTTTCAAAGCTGAGACTTTGTCGTTATAATATGCTTAACAAAGCAAATTGGACCAATTAATTCCTTTTCAGATTTGCTATCAGATTTTCTTCAGCCGAGGATGGAAATTTGAAACCGAGTAATCAATAAGAAACTAAGAAGTGTGGCTCACGGAGACCCCTAAAGAGCAGGTAACCCTTTGACATACTAGGAGTGCAACAGTGCAAGACTAAATGCTCAGCATGAATGCGCTCAAAAACACATTGGAAATTAAATTAGCCTACATTTACCAAAGACTTTGCAGAACTTGTGGGCCATGTAAATGTTTATATAAATATTAGAGCTTTATTATTCCAATATAGCATTGACCAAAGCTACCAAAGATACCAAAAACAAATTATACTCCGAAAGGGAAAAACTAACAGAATTCATCATTATTCAGCCTCATAATTCTTGTCAAGTAGACCCTCATTTAAGTTGTGAATGATTGTAACATCAATTTGACCTTGTTTGTATTAATTTAGTTCAGGTTAATTAAAAATTAACAACAATTTAATTCATGAATTCATTAATCAAAATAATTATATTATATATATATATATATATATATATATATATATATATATATATGAAATTATTTTTGTTATGTTGTAAGTACAAAAAGAATTTCTTGTAACCACTATAGACAAAAAAAAAAATTAATAAAGAAAGTGGAGAGAAAGACTTTATGGGTATATATATGGATATGGATCAGGATTATTTTATACCAGTGTAAGTATAACAACCCTAATTTTTAAACTATGTGAAATTAGGAGTTAAGTGAGACAGTGTGTGAATTTTATGACTATTAAGAGAATCTGACAGTTAAATCATGAAACTATCATGCTAATGGATGTGAGGATACAATTCATGCCTAACAAGTCAATTAGAATCTAAAAAGAACATAAGTTGCGTTTAGAGACATAAATGCAGAAATCGTGGTAACGAGGGTATTTTGGTAATTTGCAAATTAGGTCTGAACTGAGTCCTGACAGTCTAGTTAAATTCTCTGATGAATTGTAAGGGTTATATATGTGTCTAATTTAATTAAATGATATGTAGAATAATTTAAACAATTTAGGTTAAAGATTGATTAATTAAAAAATCAACTAGGTTAAAAGTAAGCTTTTAACTTTACACCTAGGTTTAATCTTTGGTCAAAGATGAATGTCTTGCTTTGTTTGCTATTTGTGATGTGTAATTATGTTATTGTGTGATTGGTTGGTCAAAAGTTTAAGTGTGTGATGTGTAAAGTGAAGACCAATGAGAATTAAGTTACTTTATATATGTAAAAAGTCAAATTTTGTGTGTTATCCTTCCTTTTCCTAACCAAGTCGGTTTATTTCCCTTCTTTGGTGTCTTCCACGATGAAAAACTGATTAGGGAGAGTGAGAGACTTGTCTTGGAAGCTTGGTTAAAGTTGGATAAAAATATCTAAGCTAAAAAGTGAAAAAGTAATGAAAACTTAGGGTGTGTTTGATTAGTGTTTTAGAAAACAATTTTTTTGTTTTGAAAATTAAAAAACAAAAAAATTTGTTTGATAAGAGTGTTTCCTAAAAATAGTTTTAAAAACAATCACTGGTTTTCAGTTTTTAGAACAAAAATCTCAGAACACCTTAGACTTGTTTTTGTTTTGGTTTTCGCGTTTTTTGTTTTGAGAATTACAAAAACACGGAGAACACTGTTTTCATTAATAGCAATAGTGTAAATACCAACATATTATTATAAATCATTTACTATTTCAATTTTTTCCCCTTCTTCTTGACTGCAACTCTAACTTTCTTCTCAATCCCTCCATCTCTCTCCTGTTATCAATATCCTCTTCAATCAATATTCAAGAAGGAAGAAGGAAAATAATTTCTTATTCGTTTGAAACTAGTTTTTGCAATATATCTAAGTTTTTCAGTTGTATCTAAATAATCAGCTCTGTTAAAGGAAAAACATTATTCTCTTAAGAAAGTCGTTTAAACACTTGACCGACATGGTTTTCAGAGATAAAAAATTTTGGTTGAACAGATTCCGAAGACATTCACGAATGATTGGATCTAGCTTTTGGATATTTTAAGTGGGCAAAATTACAAAATGAAGAAAATAATCAAACGAGTTTTATGCTTTCTAACTTTGAAAATATGTTTTCAAAACAAAATTATCAAGCAGATTTTTTTGTTTTTTAAATTTTAAAACTCTTTTAAAAACAATTTTATCAAGCAGATTTTTTCCTTCTTTTGTTCTGAAAAACAATTCTTATAAACAATTCTACAAAATTGTTTTAAGAACAAAAAAATTAAAACACATTCAAACGGAGCCTTAACCATTAAGCCTTTGAATTTCAAACCACTTGTCATCTTTTCTTTCTTTCTTCGAGGCACACAAAATATCTTCTTCTTCTTCTCCTTCATGACCGTAGCTTTCATGGTGTGAGAGTTTGAGAGAACTTGATTTCTAGCCATTATTTCAAGAAAGTTTCAACATAAAAATGATTCCTTGTGAACTTGTGAGCAAAACCCCTAAAACCATATGCCTTCTAGCCTTATTTTGAGTGAGATATCCTCTCCTAAAGGTTGGATATGGCTGCTCCCCTATGGTGTTTTGGATGAGAGTTTTTGCTTGGTTTTTGCGTTAGAAAAGCTTAAGGTTACCTAAAGGAAGCTATACAAGGTAATTGATGTCAATTTTGTTGATTGGATGATGATTTGTGAATATTTATGTTCTTGTGTTCAAAATGAATTTCTATGTATGTTGATGATGAATTTTGAAGTGGTTTTGTTTTAGAAATTGGTTGATTAAGCATATAATTTAAAGATAACATCTTGAATTTTTAAAAAAATTCCAAGGAAGTAACCTAACCCTAACTTCATGTTTCAGCTATGAATAGTAAATTAGGGTTTGATATGGTTTGATGATGTTTACATATTTGTTGATATGGTTTGATAATTAATTGATGATTGTATGTTGAATCAATGGTTTATATGTTAAGAAAAATGCATGCAAAGTGTTGATTCTTCAAGTAGTAAATTCGGCCATGCATGCTAAGTGTGTGATAATGATGTGTTTATATATGAATGATGATGGAATTTGGATTTTGTGATGATTTGTTAATGAATTAAGTGATGAAAATATAAAGAATTACATAGGCCATTTGTGCACATTCAATTCGGCTATGTATAGTTAATGTAAGGTTTGTATGTTGTTTGATTAAATGAGTATTTGTAACATGAATTCAATGATTAATTAAGTGTTTGATGTCATTGGATTAAAGTTTGAATGTGTAACACCCCGTGTGCACCCGGTGTATTATCATACAAATGGTAATGGCGCAGCTAATTAAATGCGGAAGCTAACTTTTTCTTTTCAATTATGACGTCATTATTATTAACCAAGTTGATTATTTAATCTTATTTCAAAACATTGCAATAAAATAACTAACTGAATAACCTCATATATAAATGTGTATCTAATCACGAATATACAACACGTAGTCCGGACAGAATCTTGATACATTATACAAATCATGTCTATATAAACGTAACATAGTCAATGTGGCATAGACAACCCCTTGCCTCACCAAATAAGGCAACAACGCCCAACAAAGCCTCAGCTCAATAAGCAATATAATGAAACTAAAACATGGTCAACACCAAAGCATATCAGCATAAACAACATGCATATCAACTCAGCTCCGGCCTCCTACCGCTAGAGGTATTAACCCTCGAGGTACCTGAACCTGAAAATGTGCCTCAACGTGGGGTGAGATCTCTAACAAGAAATCTCAGTAAGACAAGGGGTCCTCAAGGATCTCTCCACCCCAAGCTCACTTACATGTGCAATATAAGTTCTAAAACAGTAAAACAATATAAGTTCCAAAATCTGTGCAATGCAGCATATAATCATGTCATGTGTGTCAGAATCCTACTGGCCAGAGAACATGTAGGAATTACATACGTCTACAACCCACAGTGCAAGACACTACTTGCACCCCACCCACAGAATCACCATCTTGTATGACGCTACTTACTCAGGCTTACCGTCTAGGTGGAACACCACATACACATCATAAGGCACTTGCACTTAACAGCTCAAAAGCAGTTCAATAATCATCATTTCATGAAACACATCATGCATACAACCATCCCTCCATGAGATATGGTGGAACCAATAATGGGCAAAACCGAGGACACAAAAGCTTACCTCGCAAGCTAACAATCCCAAGTCAAAGATCCACACCAGCCCAAGGTCCACAAACAGCACAATCACAATCTGTTTACACCAGCAATCATGTCAACATTTATCATCTACAAGTTCATGACACAACGACAACGTTTTCTTTTTCGTTTCATGCCATTAGGCTTCTCCCAAAGCCATAAGCCCTTAATCCAATTGATTCTGACTTAGTTCAATTATTACAGAGGTTCAACTAACCAATCATGAGTCCATAAACCCAATATACCATTCTGTATGAACAGAACAGTACCCAACTCGAAATTCTCAGAATATCCGAATATTTCACCGGGCAATATCCGATATCCATATCTGGATATCATATCCGGATATCACAAGCCCCATATCCGGATATCAATATCTTGTGTGTGAGAGAGCTTGCATGGTGAGTGAGGAAACATTCCATTTCTGAGTTGGTGGGTCTGTGTGAGTGAGTGTTGGGGCTGACCTTTTTGGTTTGTGGTGTGAGAGCCATTCTTGTGGTGGTTTGAGCTTCAAGAAGCCACCTTTGTGAAGAAAGGACTCTCCTTGGTGTGCCATTTTCGTGCACATTGAAATCAGAAGCTTGAGGAGCTGTTTGGTGAGCTCCAAGAGCACTTCTTTCTTTGTTTTAAGCTTGGGTAAGCTTCACCAACCTTGATCATGAGTTTTCATGGGTTAAAGCTTGAGTCTTGGCATGTAATATGTTAAAATGAAGTAACCAACATAAACATGAATATGTAAGTTTGTAAAAAAGCATGCTTGGACGTTGGAATGGGTTAAAAACCCAACCTTTGGAGTGATATCTCGTGAAATGCAGAAACTGCATTCTGTCGCGAAATATTCGGATATGATATCTGGATATTGATATCCGGATATGGGGTCTTGTGATATCCGGATATCCTTGAAGGCCGTAGGCATGTGAGGATGAAAACAAAAAATTTTCAAAGCGGAAACACACATACCAATCAAGATACATAGTCTAGGATAGAGAGATACCTTGTTCGTAACTCAAAACTCGAAGGTGATCAGTGTTAGGGTTGAAGGTTCAAACCCTCTAACGTTGATCCGCACCACCCTTTGTCAAGACGCAAGAACTCTTCTTGAAAAGCCACCAATTCTAACACCACAAAGGAGCAAACTAGGCGTCCCTTGTGAAGAGGTAGGAAGCTCGATTTTATTATGTTTAGAGGAGAGAATTTTCAGCCATAAAACTCACACAAAGTGGTGCACAAATTGTAGGAGAGAATGGCCTTTTTATTTTCCAAAAACCCTAAGAAGAATATCACAAAAGGAAAACACTTAAGGAGATGAAAGAGGAATAAACTTGAATCAGATTTTTCACCAAAAATCTAATCATGGAGCGCCCCTTTTGTGGAGGAAAGAGTGGAGTTGTTGCAAATCAAATCTAGTCAACAAACTCCTATCCTATCCTCTTAAAACTAAGTCTGCACCTAGTCAATATTCTGACCTAATGACCCTTATATGATCAGCCATATTGTGCGCCCCAATCAGCCCAAAATCATTCCAAAAATATAGATTAGTTGCAATTCAAATTGAATCAACTAAATCAAATATTTCCACAACCAACCAAATCTGAATGGAGCTTGATTTGTTGATTAAATGACCATCATTAAGCCACCAAATCAGCGCCCCAATCATCTTTGATGATTTCCAAAGATCTCCTCTTGATACTTGGGATTTGATCTGACAAGATACTATCAAGATCTTATCCTTTCCTTTTGTTATGAAACTTCCTTTCATAGCCAATTCAAATTTGAACATTCTAATTTAAATATTCAAATATTTAAATTCAAAATTCAAATTCATAATTTAAATTTTAAATTTAAATATTAGATAATTAATTTAACTAATTAAATTAATTAATAATGTCTTGGACCACCCAAGCCCATTACAACAATCCATGCGCCTTTTTCCCTCTAAGGTGGGTATCCAAACTTCTTCTTGGGCTAACAACCATTATTAGGCCCAAAACCTTTAATGCTATAATGTCAAGACAATAAGGTGTTAGTGTGTGACCCATTAGGCCCAACTTAGCCACTGACATAAATGGACTTGGGCCCAATAAGACCACAACCCATTTAATGACAACACAGAGCACTAGCAATGCTTTGTTGCCCAGAGCTAGTTAGGTTAATGACATGATCATCCTATTAAATGTATTTGGTTACCGTATGTATTTCCTTTCGTCTCGGTTACCTTCCCATTAAACCTAGGGTGAGGAGATGTATCAACCCTTGTGGTTTAGGGTAAGCTTTAATTCGAAATAGGGAATCTTCAATTTACTGACTCTAAAGGCAGATCATCTCATGATCTCTTTTACTATGCATAGATTCCCGAGTCCCGTAAATGTCATCCCGATTTCTCTAGTTTACAGATAACTTAATCCCTCATAGAGATTTGACGAATTCCTTCAGCTTATCACCCTAGGCTTGTGTTCTTTCAGGACATGCCCAAAGGTATACCTATGAATCTCCATGTTTCAGGCAGATGAGGTATACAATCAAAACATGCATCTAGAACATAGTCTAGGTGAAAACTTCTGGTCTAAGGAAAGACATACCCAAATAATAAGAAGTTGCTCTAATGATACTATTTGTGAGATTTCCTTATAGAGCCTCTTTGTGGGTCTGTTCAGTGCGAGCTATACTCTTATAGGTCCACTCACGACTTTAGCTAAGACATCTTCATATCTGTAGCTCATGAGGTCTTTACCTTGTATCTGAATACAAGTAGATAAGCTGTGCTAGTCTTACCCGAGATTACTGATCCCCATTCTCAGTGTCTCTAGACTAGGAACATAAAATTAGGAATAAACATCTGGTATCCTTGAATCCTCATGATCGTGATCTCATCACAGATACTCAAGAGATACTTATTCTATTCCAAGGGGTTTATCCAGTTACTCATATAATATATAAACAATGATACTGAGACAAAATATGAAACATGATAAAAGTGCTTATGATTTATTTGCGACAATATAAAAGGTACACAAATGTCCTAATCTAATCAAAGGATTGTCTCTAGGACATCCATATACTAACAGTCCCCGACATATATCCGAATATTCTGGGAATTTCGAGACAGTGTCTGTACTGTTCATACAGAACTGTGTTTGGGGTTTGTGAACCTGTGACACCCTCCCTTGTATGCATCCAAGGGAAGTGTACGTTAAAATCGATTAGAGTCACAACGTTATCGTATAAAATTCTTATTCTGAAAGAAACGTTTTGATGACACCAATTCAAACTTTCGCCTGGAAAACTGACTTCGTAAAATAGAATCAGTAAGTGATTTTAAAAAAAGAAAACTTTCGCTGCGCAACTCTAAATTTTCTTGAAAACAGTGTGCGACTTTATAAAATAACATAGCTTACTGAAATAATAATTTTCCTGAAAACCTGTCTGGCTGCAAAAATCATAATAAATCGAGATTTCAGAATTTCATTGTAAAGTCTACATAATCTGAAACTAGACATGTGGGGCTTCAGGTACATATAAATTATGGCCCATTCGGAGTCTCGTAGCTCCCGGAACAGAACTCGCAAGGTGAGAGATAAATCAGTGAAAATATTTCCAAAACTACCTGACTTGCAAAAATCATAAAAATCCGTGCTTACATGCTGTAGACACAAACTTTATATAATATGAAACTAGACACCTGGGGCTTTAAGTGCATATAAATTATACTCCGATCGGAGGTCTGTAGCCCCAGAAACAGAACTCGCAAAGTGCTCGAAAACTTAATCTCAAAATCCGAATTTAAACAGCAGAAATTGTTTGTCAAAATAAGATAACAGAATTACATAAGTCTTAGCAAATACAATAATCAAGCTAATGTGTGTTCCCAAAATAAAATACTATATTCACTTGGTCAATCCCCAAAACAGTACATAACGTCAAGATTCAGCACACAGCCAAATAAACAGCGGCAAACATCATGATTTTAAAACAGCAGCACTCAACAACAGATATCCAAAATACTACTTCATCAAATGCTTTTACGTCCTCCTGCAATTTTATAAAAATTGAGCACCCGAAGGGGTGAGAAAAATCCTAGTAGAGTGGCAAAAAATCCAACAATGCAACAATGTTAATTTAAATACCAAATTTCCAAAATTGTCACATCATCAAATAGTTCCAGAACATATTCCATCATATAATCCAAGTGCGTATATAACGCCAAATTTTTTATCAAGGTGCGTATATAACGCCAAAATACTAATCAAAGTGCGTATATAATGCCAAAATACTAATCAAAGTGCGTATATAACGCCAAAGTAATGTACGTTCATAGCACTGCAGTGCACGTACTACTAACTAACACAGTGGAGATTCCAAAGGGCTCCCAAAGGTGAATTCCACTGGACCTATGCGGACTGAAGCCAAGTGTCCCATACCCTGGTACCGGAGGGATGCCTATATGATGCGTGCTCAAACATATGCTTACTTTTATTATATACTTCGGTTTCCAAGATGAATGCATTATGCTGTATGCCATGACATGATTCGCACACACAAACAGAACAGATGAATTATGATGTGCGTATGCATGGCTAGATCATAATCATAATACATATATTTCTTGTATTTTTAATACCAAGCTGCCAAGTAATAAATACTTCCCAAAACAGAATTCCAACAGTTCTTATTCCAAATCGAATTATAACTGCCTTCCAATAGAATCAAAACAGAGCACGAGAGCAACAAATCAAAAATTCAAGTATTAAACTAACAGTCACAAAGGGGTAATCCACCGAACACTTACCTCGAGTCTTTAACCCTTTTTAATCAAAACATCAACAATCAGACCACTCTTTTAGAGGTTAGCACACATGAGCAATCGGTACCAAAAATTAGAATTCACATCTATTGTTCCAATAAAATACATGTACTCTCCATGCTTCCCATTCTAGGTGTCTAGTCGATTTACCATATTTCCATTACTAACTTAATCACCTACTAAGTTGTTTTAATCTTTTTTTGACTTAATGTTAATTTTACCAAACATTAGCAATTTACAACAATCCAGATTTCTAAGACATGCCACACGGTTTTGGCATCAACCAGATTCCACAAGTAGTCATTTACATGGCAATACCTACAAGACTTAGAGTGCACTAAAGATGCATAAAGCATGCTGTCAACAAGGTCAAACACATGCGAGACTTGATTCGAATAGTATTTAATGATTTTTACACTACTTTAATTTTCCTAACAAGGAGTTTATTTCCGGACTTTAAACTAATTTTCCATGCTTTCAACTCCCATGATTTCAATCGACTTATCATGCTTCAAGTGTTAATTAATTTTCTGCCTTAGATTCAACTTTCCTAATTGTTAACCAATGACACAATCCAAAGTCTCCTAAACATACAGATTCGGTCTTCCTCATCCCAAAGTGCTTATGATTTATTATTTTACATATACTGCCCTACACGTTTGAAGGTGCACTAGTGAGGCTAAAGCAAGCTGTCCAATTAAGTTCTTACATGACCAAGGTTCGGTTCATCACTAGGTGCTTATCCTTTATTTTAACAAAACTCTATCAATGTCACATAGTCACTGCTAATTAAATTATACATGCTGTCTATACAATTTAAAACATGCCAAACTAGATTATAACAATAGTCCAAAAGACATTCCTACAGCATGACAAGAACTCTATTCCAATCTTAAAATAGTTCTTTAAATTTGTATGCATAAAATCCATAGCTGCCCGAAAATGGCAGAAGCAAAGAACAGAGTCATAATTCGGCTAAAGGTACTTACGGTTTTCAAGCCAATAACTAGTGTGCTTCTATTTTTATTTAACATATCATTTCTTCCAAGGCTTGGGTGCGCTAAAGAGGCTAAAAGCATGTTGTTTTCAACAACTTAGACATGCAAGGCTGTACAATCATTTTTCTAACTACATGGGCAGTCCAACAATCTAATGACTATATCCAAGTTCACACAAAAATCAGCTTTGGATTTACATGTATCAGCTCCTAGGGCGGTCTAAAAAAAGCAGAATTAAGGCAAGGGAATTTCTAAAATAAAATATCCTCTTAATCAATAAGGGGGACCGAACACATAAGGAGAAATTGAGGGTTTAATACATGATTTACTTTTACTAGAAGGCACTCGGTTCTTTGGCAGTCCAAGGGCAGAAATAGTGAATAAATTGACACAATATATTTCTCTTAAATTACAAACAGCAGCCGATTAGAACAATAAAAGAGAATTGACAAAAAAATACATCTTCTTATAACATACCTATGGTCGAACTGATAGGATTAAAGGGCTTAAGGTTCGGTTTGTACCTTCTTACTCGCAACCAGGTTTCTCTTAAAATGGTGGCAGAAAACAGTCACCAATTCAATGAACATCAGCATCGCTTCTCACCATGCCAAGGAGTTAAAACAGGAGTGAGACAAGGAACAGTTCACTCAAACATCTCATGCGCTGAAATTAGAAGCAAAGAAGGTAGGAAAAAGGCTCACTTGTTTTAGTGTGTAATGGAGATAATTTAGAATTAAAATATATTGGTCTGCCTTGCGAGGAATTAAGTTCACAGCCGCATGCAAGGAAATAGAAGACTCCATCAAGACTCCTTGTATGTTGATTTCAGTCGAACAAGAATAAGGAAGAGGAATGTGCTTAAACTTCCATCTCAAGGTCACTGGTGTGGGACCGAATCGGTGAGGGAATGAAGGCGGAAACTTTGAGGATGGTTCTTCTCTTCAATCACTCACGGTTTTGAGGAGGCTAGGAAGGGAAGGGAACTTGTAAGCTTTCTGCTTGGTGTACGGTTGAGCAAGGAGGGAAGGGAGAAGAAGTGATTAGGTGTTTTATCTCCTCTATGTGTGCTCACGATTTTGAGGGGGAATGGGCAGCCTTGGTGCTCTCTCACATGCTTAGAAAAAGAACTCAAGAGAGATCAGATTTTTAGCCTAAGATAAAATGGAACCCTTGGTCATGAAAGGGCTTGGCCGAACCATGTAGAAAAGAACCTAAGGGGGCGTTTGGTACTCGGATAATTTTTGCATCCCTGTGAAAGCGCTATCTGGATTTTGGAATAGCCATGTTTGGCAACACAAAAATGGTAAATATCTCTGGCAACAAGTTGTCCCGTTATTTGCATTTCATGTGTGATTTGTATTGAAAGAATGGAAACATGTTGTCCAACTCAAGAACGGGGAAGTGAAATGTGAACCGCAAATGCAAATACGAAAATACGATCTGTGCACTGATGGTGAATCTGATTTGACTGGTTGGTGGTGGACTGAAAGCCGTGTGCAAAATTGGCGCGAAAGAGTCTTATATCTGCCATTTCTCCCTCCATTTCCAAAAAGCGCAAGTGAGGAGGAAGAAGCTGATTCCTTGCATGTGAGTGACGAAATCGGTATGACTCTTGCCTTCTATGACATTTGCATGTGCAATTTCCATATTGTCGAAGGTGGTTTTCCGTTTTCTGATTTGTTTAAGAAAATGTTATGAGGTTTCTGGGCTGATTTGTGCGAGGCAGCTGAGCATTGGATGGGTAGCTTCTTCTTTTATTTAGTCTTCTATCTAATTTGTTCTTTCATATCTGCAGTACGGGGGGTGGAACGTGTTGAAGGAAATCGTTTTTTTGTTCAACCACAATCGACTCTCAAGTGAGATAAGGAAGCATCAGGTAACCAAAGTCACTTCCTTTTTTGCTGAGGTCAGTCATAATCTGTTTTGGACTTGATTTGTAGATATTTGGGTTGTGAGGGAAAACTATTTTTTTTTGGATCTTTTCTTTTTTGTATACTCGTGTTCATGTGTAGCTTATGTGTTGTGGTCATCTTAGACCCAGCACAACTTCGAGTCATATGGGATCAGTGATGCTATATTGTGCTTGTTTGTAATTAATATTAATTTACCCAAAAAATGTGTAGATATTTGATGTGGTCCGATCCTGCATGCATGTTACAGGGAAAAATATATATGTCAGTTTGACTATGATTTAGGTTTGCCTTAGGTGTGAAAGCATTTGTTGCATTCCTCTAACCTGCCCATGGTTGCAATGAGTCCGGTAATGTGTGTTGTTTTAAATGAAGCTGTCTTGGTGGAGCATTTGAGGTATGTTGTATGCAGTCATCCATATGGATTGCTCATTACATGTAATTGCAAATAATTTTTTAGCATTAAGCAGTAGCATGTGAGTTGTGTTGTATACTGTTATGTTATGGATTTAACATAACATGTAATTGCAAAATAATTTTTGACTAAATGTGAATATAGAAATTGAGAAGGGATAACTGAATTTATAAAAATTGTGGCAGCATGCATTTACAAAGTAGTACATGAGTTGAACATGTGTTAACATATAACTACCTCATTGTTTGCACTGTATCAGATTACAATCCTTGTCCTATATTTGAGCAATATGACTGATTGTGTTGTGATACTTTGAATCCCGTTCATCATCGTTGGATTAATGTTAATTACTCTTGGCTGTGTTGTGTTAGATTGAGGAGATGAACACAGCAATGGCGTTGAGTATCGTTATTATTATCATTTGTCATTTGCAAAATTTGAATCACCGAACTATGTTATTAGTGAGAATTTATGGTGTAATATTAGCTCATATTGAAAGAAGGAAAAGGAAAATGAGGAGATTGAAGTGGGATTTTTGCAGTAGGGTGCCTACGAGGGAAATGAATCTGCATAGAATAGTGTATATTACTGACACCGCTTGTATTGAGAATACAAGGATGGATAGGAGAAGCTTTCATACTTTGTGTCATTTGTTGAAAACTATTGGGATGCTTCAACCGACGAGGCACATGGGGGTAGAAGAGCAAGTTGCAGTCTTCCTTCACATTTTGGCTCATGATGTGAAGAATCGAGTTATTAAAAGACAGTTTATGAGATCAGGTGAGACAATAAGTAGACAATTCAACAAGGTGTTGCAGTCTGTTTTAAGGTGTCACACCGTACTCCTTAAACGGCCTGATCCCATCCTACAAAACTCAACTGATGATAGATGGAAGTGGTTCAAGGTACTTGTAAATTTTACTCCATGTTTTCCGCGTAATTTACAAAGGTCATTCTCTCTTTTATATTGACTTGTTTTATTTGTTTGTTTTTTGGGGTTGATAGAATTGCCTTGGAGCTTTGGACGGGACACACATCAAGGTTAATCCCTTACAAGCTGATAAGGCAAGATACCGCACTAGGAAGGGTGAAATTGCGACAAACGTGTTGGGTGTCTGCTCGCAGGATTGCCAATTTATTTATGTGTTGCCTGGATGGGAGGGATCAGCTGCGGATTCAAAGGTGCTCAGAGACGCTATCTCTCGTGGAAATGGGTTAAGGGTCCCGAAAGGTAACTACGGACCATCACACACATTCTTGGCAGAGAGACATCATTTATATTACAATCCCACAGTGTTCCTCACACCTTTTCTTCTGTTGTCGTAGGTTTATATTATTTGGCCGATGCCGGTTATATGAATGGGGAAGGATTCCTAACACCTTATAGAGGGCAAAGATACCATCTGAGTGAGTGGAGACATGGGGCACAGCCAACGACACCGCAAGAATTTTTTAACATGAAACACTCCCAGGCTAGGAATGTGATTGAAAGATGCTTTGGGTTGTTGAAGGGTCGTTGGGCCATTGTCAGGTCAAAGTCTTTTTATCCGGTGAAAACGCAGTGCCGTATAATCACTGCTTGCTGCCTGCTTCATAATCATATTAGAAATGAGATGCCTATTGACCCTTTAGAGGATAATACTGTGGACATGGCTGAAGCTGCAGACAACTTTGAAGGACAGGACATGATAACTCATGTTGAGTCATCAAATGCTTGGACAAGGTGGAGGGATGATTTGGCCCAACAGATGTTTGATACATGGAAGAATGATGTTTGATTTGGTTTAGGACTTTGTGTGATTTTTAATGTTGTTGTGTTTTGGTTACATCGACTTAGTTTCATTTCAACACATTTGTGTGATTGTACCGAACTCTTTCTTTTTCTATGTGAGGCTATGTAATAGATACTATATATGTCAGTTTGCTACTGTTCATTAATGTAATCTGTTTTTAACTGATTGTCTATTGATTATAGTATACAAACAACAATTTTTTTCTTAACCCCTTATGCAGATGGCTGAAAAGGATTCCCAATCCAGCAAGCGGATTAATCACACCTGGACATCAGAAGAGGACAGGGTGCTTGTTGATTGTCTTGTTGATTCTGGTTTAGCATGGAAGGGTGAGAATGGTTTCAGGCCCGGATTTCCTAATCACTTAGAGAAGTTGATGCATGCTAAAATTCCTGGATGTACACTTAAGGGCACTCCACACATTACGTCTAGAATCAAGCTCCTAAAGAAGCACTACAATGCCATTGCCAAGATGATGGGGCCGAATGGGGGAAGTGGTTTCGGGTGGAATGATAGGGACAAAATGATTTACGTGGAGAAGCAAATTTACATGGACTGGATTAAGGTACAACTCATTATTGTGAACACAAAAATTATCATATTGTATTGCATTTTCTTTGTTATAATTTACTGTTCTAATTTTTCATGTTACACTGAATTGTATTATCCTTGCAGACTCACCCTAATGCCAAGGGTCTCTACAAAAAACCATTTCCATACTACAACGCATTGGGACCGATTTTTGGAAAGGACATGGCAAATGGAGAGCATGCCGAGGGTCCAGAGGATGCAGTCCACAATATGGACAATGAAGCAATTGGTATGGCTGAAAGTGGGACTGCCGTGGAAGAAATTTATGATCTATTTGAAGACAACACAATCTCACCGAATTGGGAACCTCCACTCCCTGACACTGCAACTGAAGAACCCACACAAACTTCTCCTGTGTCAATTTCTGTTGCAAAAAAGGGTAAGAAGAGAGGAAGGAATGAGGAAGCTTTGGCTAGTGAGGTATCTGTTGCAATAAAGGATCTTGGTAATGATTATAAAACCACAAATGACAAAATTGACAGGTTGATTACATGCTTTGAACACCAAGGTGAGGGTTCAAGCAAAAAAACTTCTGTTGTCCAAGAATTAAAGAAATTTGAAATCTTGACAGTTGAACAGAGGGTTAACCTTGCCATGATAATGCATAAGGATCCCACTATATTGGAAATTTTTTTGGAAGGAGGTGATGAAGAAAAACAGTTTGTGGTGGCATCCTTATTGAGTAAGGGGTGAGACTGTCAGTACTTCACTTTTTTGATAACCCCTGGTTATATGGGTAGTGTTCACTAGTTTTGATGTCATATAGTATCTATGTCTGTGTCATGAGACATCTAGGCTGCTGTCATATGTTTTATAAGTCAGCTACAGTATAACCATTTTAAAGACTGATGTTTAGAAGACAGATGCTTTCATGAAATGGGTTTTTTGAGATTAACCTTGCAATGTTAACGAAACAGCTGTATGATTCAATGGTGTTTATATATGGTTTAGCAGGTATGAGATTTTTATTAACTGGTGGGGCATGTGTGATGTCTATTTGACAGTCATTTATAAATGTTGATAACAATTTCATGGTTTGTGATTTGTGTAAAGCAGAAAGGGTGTTAACTATGCTGGCAGCTCAAGCTTACGTACCTAGGGAGGTGCTGCAAGATTCAAGTTTGTGAAGGATAAGCAAAGGTTCATCATGTGAAAGATTGCTGAGGATATGATGATTTGGTTTTATATTGTATACATTGTTTTGTACAGATGTATATGTCCTACAGTACTTATTTCAGTGAGGCATTTAGGCAGGGTACATGGTTTCTGGAATTGGGTTATTTTGTCCCATTTCATGTATAGCAACTAAAGCTTCTGTAAATCAGGTTGTCAGGTTATATATATGAAGTAAGAACAATGTTATTTATGTGATATATTTTATTCTGTTGAGTGTGATGAATTGCTTTCTATTCTATGTCATATCTATTTGGTGAGTTATAATTAACACT